TCTGGACTCATGAACTTATGAACTTAATTCAGAGACATGGCTTAGGCAGTTAGAGAATAGAATCAATTACAGAATGGAATCATATAAAATAGAAAAATCAATATTTGGTTTTCTCAGTTTGGAGATTTAGCTCTTTAAAATAAAAATGCTTACATTTAGAAAATTAATTAAGAAAAATTGCATTTTATACTCAAGCTTACCAGAAACAGACTACAGATTTTCTTCCCAAAAAAGTTTTCAAAGTACAATTTATTTTACGTGTATGTTTGTATGGAATACAAAGTGATGTTTCTCTTATTCTTCAAAGAACTGGATATCTTTTTGAAAGCAGGTAAGTTCCTTTTAGGAGAGAAAAGTTTTGACTACTTAAGAATTTCAGGTAGACCAAAACAAGATGATTATGAATGATTCACTATCTTTTTTGAAGGATGGAATTTTTACCCAAATTTCCCTAAGTGGTGAATCTAAAAAGAAATAAAGGAAAATGGTTAGCTATGCTATAGTAGATGTACTAAAGTGGAAGATCTTTGAAGGATAAGTGTCATCATTCCCTATCAAGGAGTTTCTCTTCCCCATTTTATAGAAACTTTTGAGGCTAAACAATTTATAAATATCTGTAAACCATAGAATGCAGAATTGTATTTTGTACTGTTCATCCTTCGAGTTAATTGTTTGTTGCAGATAATGATTATTTCTTCATAACAAAAACAGATTAGGGTGAATATGGTCATATTAACTATTATTTGGTGACACAATCCAAGTGAAAAATACAAGAAACAATTTAGCAGTATACACCTCAGCCTTAATTTTTTTTCTGCATCTTTCTTTGGATACTAGAAAAGCTTTCTTTTTGCAGTTCTGAATTGTAATTTTAGAAGTTCCTCACACAGAACACTCCTCCAGACTTTGAATATTTTCACTGTTTATACCTCATGCCTGGAATGGTTTCCCTCATTGCCACCGCCTCCTAGTTTCCCTGGCTTTCTTCAAGTCTCAGGTTCTTTCATATGCCTTTCTCAGCCTTCCTTTTGACATTCTCCCTAACTTCCTTCCCCAAATTTATCCCATTTTTAGCTTATTTGTACATAGTTCTGTTCATATTATCTCCTCTGTTAGACTGTGAACTCCTTGAAGGTATGAATTATTTTTTGTTCTTCTTTGTATCTCCAGTACTTACTACAGTGTCTGGTCCATAGTAGGCATTTACTAAATTAAATGTTGGTTGATTGAGTTAATTGGAAAAAAGAAAGCATGTTTTCTATATGCTTGCAGAATTGCTGCTAAAAGCTGGATGTTTTCCAATGTCCCTTACAGCCCTGTAATTCCATGATTATCACTTTAATCATCCCTTTGGAATCCAGATGCTTACGTGACTTCTTTCAACTCATTGGTGTGTTTTTCTTTAAAACAGGTTAAGGATTTGCTCTGTTTTTAAGTAGAATCATAAATTTAACATCTGAGAGCCATGATAAGATAACATCTGGTCCAGCAGCAGTCTTTTAGTCAGTTAAAGATGTATTGTACTCTGTTCATTCCCTCCTCTATCTTAAAAAAAAGAGTCAGTTGTGTCCCACAGAGGTTAAAAACAACACCCCCAAGGTCATATATCAGGCAAGTGGTAGATGGAATACTAAAACTATTGCCTCTTGGTATTTATATTATATCTAGTTGCCTCTTGAGGATATTGCCCAGAGTGAACTGGAAAAAAAAAAAAAAACCGATCTGCCCTAAATTACCCTCAAATTTTTTTGAACTTTATTTTAAAAAAAAATATTGCAAGCATCTGTTTTCTTTCCCTCTTCCCTTCCCTATCCTCAGGTTGAAAAATTAAGAAAAACAAAATCCTTGCATAACTCAAGCAAAACAAATCCCTACACTGACCATGTCTAAAAATGTATTTCTCATTCTGTTCCTAGTCATCAGTCCCTGACAGCACATGACAGTGGATGGAGTGCTGGCCCTGGAGTCAGGAAGACCTGAGTTCACATCCAGCCTCAGGCACTTATTAGCTTTCTGACCTGGGGCAAGTCACTTAACTTCTGGTTACCTCAGTTTCCTCAACTGTAAAATGATGATCATAACACTTACTAGGAGGATCAAATGAGATAATTTCTGTAAAGTACAGCACAATGCCTGGTACATAGTAGGTACTTTATAAGTGCTTGTTCCCTTTTTTCTTTTATCTTTTAGGAAGTAGGTAGCTATCGAGCAGCTAGGTGGCACAGTGGATAGAACTTTGGGCCTGGAGTCAGAAAGATTCATCTTCCTGAGTTCAAATCTGGCCTCAGATACTAGCTTTGTGACCTGGAGCAGGTCACTTAAGTCATTTTGCTTCAGTTCCTCATCTATAAAATGAGCTGGAGGAGAAGAAAATGTCAAACTACTTCAGTATTTTTGCCGAGAAAACCCCAAATGGGGTCATGAAGAGTTGGGCATGACTGAAATGACTGAACAACAAAGCATCCACCATAGTGGTTCTTCTGGAATTGTGTTTGGTCAGAGTTGCTTGTCTTTAGAAGGTTGTTATTATTGTATAAATTGTTGTTTTGGTTCTGTTCATTCACTTCACATTAGTTCATTCAAGTCTTCCAAAATTTCTCTAAAACTTTTTCCTTCATTGTTTCTGATGGCATGGTAGTATTCCATTACATTTCTGTACCATGATTTGTTCAACCTTTCTTCAATTGATTGATATTCCCTTTACTTTGTAGTTTGTTGGTACTATAAAGAGAAGTGCTCTAAGTATTTTTGTATATATTGGTCCTTGTCCTTTTTCTTTGATCTCTTTGTGGTGTAGGCTCAGTAGTGGTATCGCTTGTCAAAGTATGTTCACAATTTAGTAATTTTGGAGGCATAGTTCCAAATTGCTTTTGATAATGGCTGGACCAATTCATATTTCCAACAGCAGTGCATTTTCTACAGCCCCTCCAGCATTTGTCATTTTCCTTTTTTGTCAACTAAGCAATATTTTTGTGGCCATATGCTCAATACTTCTTACTTGAACTATTGTCAGAGTTTCCTAACTGACCTCTCTGTTTTGAATCTGCCCTCGCTCATCCAACTCTTTACTCTGCCTGAGTAATTCTGGTAATGCATAGGTCTGACTTTGTTATTTGCTTGACTGAAAACTTCAATTATCTCTCACATCCCTTAAAAACATCATAAGTTTCTCTACGGTCCAGCTTCTACACCTACCTTTTCTGTCTTTATTTCATACTTTTCCCTTTGTAGACTGTACTCAAATTATACTGGTGTATTAGTCTTTTTTCATTCTTATCTTTTCTTTCCCCCACTCTGCATTTGTGTAGGTTTTCTTCTATTCCTGGACTACCCTCACATACCCCCCTCCCCCCCAAACCCTTTTTGTCTGTTGAAATCTTTCTCCTTTCTTTTCAGCCCATGAAATGTCATGTCTGTCAAACCTTCCTGATGCAAGTGATCCCTTTTCTCAATTACCTTATCACTTACTTTATTTCAGGTTTATTTGTATATATGTTGGATTATCCTATTAGCTTAGTAGCTTCTTTGGGGCAGGGATTATGTTGCTTCGTGTGTCCTACAGTCTTAATTGGATGGCTCATCATGGTGTGGCGATGACACTTGAAAGCACATTCTGAAAAGTTTACCAGACTGAAATGTTTTTAACCATGATTGGGGATGGACTGATTTGTTCTTTTTTCAAGAAACAACAGACTTAATAGTTTGTAGTGTTTCATTACTAGAAGGTTGATTGTTATATTTTTCTAATACTCAAAGATTCTACATTAGGTGAAGGTAGAAAAACAGTACGTAGAGGTAGTATTTACATTTATGAAATTGCCAATTCTTGAAATATCTTCAGTGCTTAGCTTGTGTGTTTTTATATATTGTGTGTGCTAGTAAATGTTGAATTAAATGATTCTGAGGTTTTTAAAGACTGGGCAGCTGATGGTTCAGTTTTAGGTGTGTGAAGTTCGATGTGCTGACAGGACATTCATGTGTTAATGACCAACAGATATTTTGAAATATAGTTCAGAGTTAGACATTAGGGCTATCTATCTATAGATTTAGGAGTCATCGTCCTCATGGTGGTTATTGAAGCCATCATATTGGATAAGACCACCAGAGGGCACATATAGAGGTACAGAGAAAGAACAGTAGAGAACCAAAGATAGAGCCTAAGTGGAAGAGTTATACTAACTGCTTGACCATAATTGAATTTAAATTTTCTTTGGCTTCCCTTGAGAGGCAGCATGGCCTAATGCCCTGCCTCTGATGCACATTGGCTGTGTAACCCTAAGCAAGTTACTTAGCCTGTGAACACTCGAGGCAACTTTCTGAGATTATAAGTTACAGAAAAAGGTGCCCATCTGCATTGGAGACGGAGTTTCCTTATGCAAGTTCTATTCTTTGTATTGATGAAATCACCTTTGCCTCCTCTCTCTCTATTCCTTGTTTTCCATTACCATTAAATAACTCTCTTTCTAGCTCTTGTTCACCAATCCTGTTACATTCCAATATTAAAAGGGATGTCATTATAATATGTTTAGTATTTCCTAAAAGAGGTATACTTTATTAAAATCCTATATGTAAAAGTCTATCTTTATGAAAAGGAAATTGCCATAGCATTCCTTAAATAGAAAGTGCCTTTCATTTTTTACATATAGGATTTGTTTTTACTAAAGTTCATTTTACATTGAACTTTTCATGGATATATAAGATGATGAATCCTCTAGTCATTTGGAATATGATGTTTTTGTTGTTTTGAGTTCAATATGCTGTGACTAAATTGATATTTAGGTTCTTTCTACAGGTAAGCTTAATATAATCATCTCAGAACTATTTTTTACTTTAAGTTTTAGTTACATAGATCAACAGTGGTTCTTCTATATTGTGGCATGAAGGCTGTAATCGTTTTTTATTTATACAGGCTTCCAGGAAATTATTTGATTACCAAGTTATAGTGAAAGGAGAGAAACTGAATTGTAGGGCTTTTAATTTATTTTTTATTTTCTCCTCAGGAAAAATATGAATGTGCTCTTAAGCGAGAAAGCATTAAAATTGTGACACCAGACTGGGTCCTGGATTCAATATCTGATAAAACTAAAAAGGAGGAAGGCTTTTATCATCCTCGTCTAATTATTTATGAAGAAGAAGAGGAGGAGGAAGAGGAGGAGGAGGAAGAGGATGAAGTCGAAAATGAAGAGCAGGATTCTCAAAATGAAGGCAGTACAGATGAAAAATTATCAAGTCCTGCAAGTTCTCAAGAAGGATCAACATTAGGTGACCAACCATTTTCACCTAAATCAAACACTGAAAAATCTAAAGGGGAATTGATGTTTGATGATTCCTCAGATTCCTCACCTGAAAAACAAGAGAGAAATCTGAATTGGACCCCAGCTGAAGTCCCACAGATAGCTGCAGCAAAGCGCAGACTTCCTCAGGGAAAGGAGTCTGGTTTAATAAATTTATGTGCCAATGTCCCACCAGTTCCAAGCAACATTTTGCCTCCGGATGTCCGAAGTAATTTAATGGCTTCAGGACAAGGTATCCAAAGCTCTGAAAGACCAGAAATGATGGCTACTTGGAGTCCAGCTGTACGGACATTGAGAAACATTACTAATAGTGCTGATATTCAGCAGATTAACCGACCATCAAATGTAGCACATGTAAGTCGCACTTTAAAAAATTCCAAAGTAATGGACTTTACACTTAAAAGTTTCATATGCATTAGTCATAGTTCTAGTAATATTGCATATTAGTTAATTAGTTCTCAGAGTATTTATTTAGATCAGTGAAGTAATGAGAAGTTGGTATTTTCCTTGAACCCGCCTATTTTCATTGTTTTAGATAGTAGAAGCTGTGGTCTAAGGAATATAGCAGCAGTTAACAGTTTTCAAATGAATTGTCTAAAACAGTAAACTAAATAGAGAACTATGTATTTTGAACATTGTAACTTCTTATTAATATGCCTGTACATTTCTAAACCTAAAAATGAGAAGTACAGATACTAAATCATTAACATTTTTATTCAAACTAATATAAGGGTTTAAAAATCATTAAGTACGTGATTATGGCTCTATAATACTTTTGTGCCACTTTATGATACCTACATTAATTCTGGATTAATTTGTTTATAAAATACAAACAGCTGTGTATATGCAAAAGAAGTGAGATGGTTGATGAACATCTAGAAGATGAAACATTAATTACAAAGGACATGGGTTCATCATGAACAAGTGATACCAGACTAACCTTTATTTCATTTTTTACAGTATCACTAAAGTAGTAGATGAGGGCAATGCTATAAATATAGTTAATCTAGTTTTTAAACAAAGCTTTTAACACAATATTTCATACTGTTCTTGTGCAAAAGACAGATATGTTAATAATACAATCAAATAGATTCAGAAGTGATTGGATTATCTGAACTCAGAATAATTAATGACTCAATGTAAATGTACTGGAAGTTCTCTAGTAAGTACCCCCAGGGATTTGTGTTTGACCTTGTGCCTTTTAACATTTTTATCCATGACTAAAGGAATAGAGGACACACTCTTCACCTGTGCAGATGCCCCAGAGCTGGGAGTGATTATTGAACCATAAACTGGATGGTAGTCAGGGTCCAAAAGGATCGAGAAAGTCTAGAGCATTGACTTGAATCTAATAAAGATGAAATCTAATAGGGGTAAATGGAGAATCTTGTGCTAGGGTAAAAACAAACATGAGACAGGTGAGGTGGGTAGATGAGCTGTGAAAAAGATTTGGTGGTTTGGGTGGATTAGGAATTCAATATGAATCATCACTGTGAAGTGGCAGCCCCAAAAGTCAGTGTGATTTTCAGGGTCCTGACTTCCAAGAACAGGGAGGTGATCCTGTGTCAGACCTCTTCTGGATTATTGTATTCAGTTTAAGGACATTCTGATTCTGGGGGTTGTTCAGAGGAGGGCAGCTGGGATGGTAAAGATCCTTGAGTCTGTAACAGCAGGATTGGTTGAAAGAGCCGGAGAAGAGAAGACTTAGGACATGGCAGCTGTGTTATTTGAAGGGCTGTCATTTGGAAGAGGGAATAAACATGTTCTGTTTGGTCCCAAAGAAGAGAATCTGGATGAATGAATGGATAGAAAGAAAAAGGCAAAGTTTGGCTTCTCTTCAGGAAAAGTTTCCTCACAGTTGAAGCTGTCCAAAAGTGGAATAGATTGCTTTGTGAAGTTTCCAGTCTTTGGGAGTCTTCAGGCAGAGGCCAGACGATCACTTGTTAAGTATATTCTAGTGGTTATATGAATGAGTTGAACCAGATGGCCTCTGAGGTCCTTTCCAACTTTCAGATTCTGTGATTCTGAGTGAAAATTGGAGAGGAGTAATATCTTGGACTTAGTTTTGAAGATTTAAACTATAGCTTACTATTCTATTCGTAAGAATTATTACTGACTAAAATGACAGACATTTATTATACATCATGTTAAGTTTGCTTTAATAGAATTCTGAATCATTAAATAATAAGCATAAAATAAAATTGCTGAATGAAGATATTTAACAGCATTCACTCACTCTATACCAGTCCTTTTGAGAGTAGAGTTTTTTGAAGGCCTGAGGAAAAGGGCCTGGGAAGAAAATAGTAGCATTGTACAGTATTTTAGAAGTGAATAGATTAATGCCAATGCATTCAGTGCTGCTCTTACTGTACATCCATCTTCTTGTGGGTTGCCATATGACAAGGCAGAGCCAGGTAGCTAGGGGAATGTAGTCTATGGAAAGCCCTTCTGGTTTTTTTTTGTTTTTTTTGTTTTTTTGGGTTTTTTTTTTGGTAACGCAGTTGGGGCTAAGTGACTTGCCCAAGTGCACACAGCTAGTACGTGTCAAGTGTTTGGTCTGAGGCCGGATTTGAACTCAGGTCTTCCTGACTTCAGGGCCGGTGCTCTATCCACTGCACCACTTAGCTGCCCCTACTGCACCACTTAGCTGCCCCTTTCTTTCTGGTTTGAAAAGTAGAAACAGAGAGTGAATAGCTGAGGGAAAGTATGGTTTGTTTAAAAGTATATTACTTTATGATTAACTGTTTTAGGAGCTATTTGTCTATATCTTATGGTATATTAGAAAAGTACAGGGGTGTGCTGAAGCCCACTTGAACTTTGAGCAGATTGTAACATTTTTAGTATAAGCATTTTTTGCCTTGGAAATGGACAAACGCTGCAAATCAGGGCTTGATTTATCATTTTGTTGATTGTCTAGACCTAAAGTGTTGAAGATGTTAATAATTAAGATTAAACTTAAAATTGTGTTTTGCATACTTTTTCCTCTGAGAGCCAGGTGTTAACACATTTACTGACTCACTCCTAGAAGGACAAATACTATGTAGTAGATACAGCATTAACCTTGGTGTCCAAAGTACCTGAGTTTGAAGCCTCCCTCTAATATCTTATGACTGTGTGACCCTTGGGCAGGTTATTTGACATTTTAGTGCCCCAAGTAGCCTCAGTACCAATTAGTAAAGGGGATTTCCTTATTGGGAGTTCCTTATACCAGTGTCAAGGGTCTGAATCAAATACTTAATTTATAAACTGGTTTCATACCTTGCAAGGTCTATAATCCCAAATCCACGTAAAGTACATTTGTCATAAAAGGTGAAGATACGCACACACATACACATAGACAGACATGTAGATTATTTTAGGAATATTAGTTTTTTTTTTTCCTAAAGCATTTGCATGCAACTTTTTGAACATGGATAGAAATACCAAAGGAGTTTCTGCAAAGTGTAGAGAACCTGCCATAACATGAGATGGAGTTGATAGCAACTTTTTAGAAAATAGGTACTACTGTCAGAGCCATGCCAAAAGGTCAAGCTCTTGAATTTAGTGGCTTTTCCAGCTTAAATCTTTAGCCTCAGGGAGGACTTTTCATTAGTTAGTGGGATGGTCTCTGCGAAGGATATGGAGTGCTGCTGAGAAAATGCTACTGATTTCAAAGCTATGACCATCATTGCCATCTATAGGAAGAAAGGCAAGAAAATAGATTGCAGAAACAGTGTAGCATGCTACTACTGCCTACCGGTAGCGTATCTTAGTATAGAACCTTTCAATTAAGTGGATACCAGTTAACCTAAAAGCTAATTTGATTTCCCTCTTTCCTCCAACAACCCCTCCCCCTTAACAAAAAAGGAAATTGAAAGTGAACACACACACACACACACACACACACACACACACACAGCACCCTTCATTGTAGGTCGGTCAATCAGGAACACTATCTGCTCTAATGGAGCTTTTGTTCTATCATTAGAGATTAAGTTCTACTATATCTCCTATGTAATAAGGTTGTACGATAAAAATTTTTGTTCATAATGTTCCCCGAGATAGATACTTTATACCGATCAGCAAATAAAGATTCAATTTGTTGTACTCATTTAGAAAGATTCTCAACAAAAAGATTGAAACAAAGAATTTTCTTGTTAACCTTTAGATAACCAGTAACTACTTAAATTAATGATGTTTCTCTGTTTCTACAAAGATCATTTGACTTTAGGCCATGTTAAGGTATGGTAGATAGTATGGATAGATAGATCTATAGCAGTAAATGTAAGTAAGAGAAGTGCAAGGAATAGAATGAATAAAGGACCTTGGAAAATAGGGCTAATACTCTTCTGATTGTTTTATGTGGTTGTGTTTGAGGATACAGTAAAGGATCTGCAAATTGGTCTTATATGATCAACTGGAAATTATTTCATCTGCTGTGAGCATCACTTTGCATCTTAAGGCACATATCTTAGGGTTGATATGCAGTTAATTGAGTTCTCAAAAGATGTAGTTGGGGAGATAATGCCAGTCTTTGAACCCTCAATTTGATCCAAACATTTATTAAGCTTACATTGTGCTCAGAGAACAGTGTTAGGAAACTGAGAGAGAAGGTCTCTCCACAAAGTCCTTAACTGTAATACAAAAATAGATTTTAATAAAGGCATGAGAGATATTATAATAAAATTCTCTAAGAGTTTTAACACTAGAGACACCATTTCCAGCTGAAGCTTTGTTGTTGATTTCATAGGTCTATCAATTTTATTGAGTGTTGAAGGATTTTGATAGCCAGAGATTTGAGGAATAAGGGGTACTCTGGGGATAAAGATTATGGAGATGTGTTTAGGTGGAAAGGATAGAAAGTCTAGTTTTCTAGACTGTTATGCAAAGGGCAATGAAATGTGAGGTCAAATTAGAAAGATAGGTTGATGTTTGATTGTGGAGGACCTTGAACGCTAAGGAATTTCTAATTTGGTTTGGTAGGAATTGATAAGCCATTGAAGATTTTTGAACACTGGAATAATGTGACTGGACTTGTGAGCTAATGCATATTGTTCTAGTAGTGGTAAAGAGGATAAAATTGGAGATGAATGAAGCATTGGAGACTGGTTAGGGGACCTAGACCATGAAAGTGGAAGCAAAAGGGAGTGATGGGAAATGATAGAGGTTTAGTCCATTGGGTTTGGCAACTGTCATGACATGGGCATTCAGGGAAGGTGTGGGCACAAATGACTAAGACTTTGAGAAGGTTTGACTGGTAGGAAAATGGTAGTGCCATTTATAAATAGGGGAGGCAATATGATAAAATTGAAGATAGTGTAATTATAATGGTAAAGCTTGTCCCCCTCTCCCAAAAGAGTTGAAAAAAAAATCAC